TGGTTTGGAGGGAAGAAGAAGAAGAAGATGAAGATGTGCATGGCAGCGTCAGCGTGGGAATCCTAGAAGATATTGTCAGATAAGTTTTTTTTTTTCTTTTAATTAATTAATTTATTTTTCGCATATAATCCTTGAGGTCTAATGGCATTAATTATGATGCATTCTTTTTCTTTTTAGGCAAGATTCAAAACCTGTCTTTTATAAAATATGCTCAAAAAAATTAATTTATTTTTTTGAAAATATTTTTAAATAATTTTTTATTTTAATTCATACAAAATTTATAATATTAAATATATTTATTTATTTAATAATATATAAAAATTATATTAAAAAATAAAATAAAAATATTACCTCTATAACATTTTTTTTATTTGATTCTTAGGAAATTGGGCTTTGTTTGATTTTGGTTTTTTTTCTCTTACCTCTTTCATTGCAATCCTCGAATTGTCTTCTCCAACTAGCCAACCCTTAAAAAAGTCATCCATCTTTCCCCACTCACTCTGCTCCATCCACGCGCCTCTCCTACGCCTTTCTCCTACAATCAGGAAAAATAAAATTCGAGTGATTTTTTTAATTAGAGCATGTTTAGTCTGAAAATTAGTTTATTAAAATGGTTCGTTTTGATTAAGTAATATTAGACTTTGAGTTAAAATTATTTATTTTTATGAGTAAGTGATGTGTTCAAATATCATAAAGTTCATTTCTTTTTTCTTTATATATACCTATAAATAATGTTAAAATTATTTTTAAAAAATATTTTATTAAAAAAATAATTAAAAATATTATATAAAAAATTATTAAATTTTATAATAAAATTTTGTTATAATTTTATTAAATTATTAATTTTATTATATTTGATAATAAATTGATATATAAATTTTTTTAAAAAAAGTTATTGAATGAGTACAAATATAAGAAAAATTATAAAAAAAAGTTTTCTTTTAAAATATGTGGAAAAAAATATTGTGAGTAGAAAATTGTATAAAAAATAATTAATTATCTTTATTTTTTTTGTTATAATATTAATGTGTAAAAATGTATATAATTTCATAATTGAGAAAATTTTTAAAAATTTGGCGAAATAACTTTTTTTCTCCCAAACAAACACCCCTTAGGGGTGAGCAGTACATGTGTGTTAGCTATTTGGTTATATACTAG